AGTTATAGTGGTGGATTATGATGTTGACTTAGCGAAAGCGGAGAAGAGTTGGAATGAGGAATTTCTGTAGTTCATGTGATCGGGCATGAGATTGTTATCCAGTAGTTCCAGCTCGCTCCAACGATATCCTGTGTAGCGTTCGGGTGGGCTGGAGGAGTTGTGATATGTGGTATTTGTTGATTATTTCCAGGCTCGCACCAACGAATTCCTTGGTTGCGTTGGGTGGAGTCTAGGAGTTGTGTATGGGTATTGTGATTTATTCCAGGTGCGCACCAACGATATCCTGTGTAGCGTTGGGGTGGTTGAGGAGGTGAATATGTGGTAAAGTGATTATTCAGGCTCGCAACCAACGATATTCCTGTTGTAGCGTTGCGGGTAGGTCTGATGGTATGATGATATCTGATTATTTGGATTATTCCAGGTCGCACCAGCCGATATTCCAGAGGCAGTGTGTAGCGCTTAGGCGTGGGTTCTGAGGGTGTGTAGTGAAAGTTGTTACGTAAATTGATTTGGTTGAACAATCGATTATCCGAGAATATGAACCTGACTCTAGTTGAGATGGAACAGTGCAGTTAGTGAGTAGGATGGTTATGTGTTCTTTTCATACATTAGATTAGGTAAATATTTAATTATCTACCAATTTAAGAACATATGTATATACATGAGGGTTTCCTTCGTTGTGGATTAATTATCGACGCTTATACGTCTCGAGTGTAAGATTTTTAAATATTATTCTATCTATTGTATGATCTTGTTGCTTGGATTGGTTCTGACGCTACCTATATTGATCTTGTTATTTGGTTGATTTTTGGCACATTCGTCTGATTATTAGTATTCCAGTTGCACGCCTCTATTGTATTACTATCATCACATGTTCTATTTCTATTTCTGTTATACATTAACCACGCATATATTGATTCAAGTATGTTATTGTATTTAGTTTCCTGCCGGCGGGATCTTGTCTGTGTTTCACACGCGACGTATTTACTCCTTATTTCTGGTGTACGTCAGATTTAGGAATACGGACAGCCTCAGTCGGGATGTAGTACAGGACGCCAGAGGATTCTGCGAGCAGTAAGGTCTTCCAGATGGATCAGAAGAAACAATCTGAAGCTTAGACTTTTCTTTCTGTAGTAGTGTGATGATGCCACTAGAAACTTCTTTTATAGTATTTCTTTAGTTGAAATGGAATTTAGTTATTTATCAGTACTTTTATTATAGACTGATGTTATTTTATTCCTAGATTAACCGTTTGTAATAAGGGCCGTGTTATGACCCATATTTTATGTCTGAGATTGATACCATTGATGATATGTCGTATTTTATTCTGCGTGTCTTATAATTCTTGCTATGTGTGATCGGGACCTGTGACTTCGCATTGTACTTATATTCCAGACGCTTACGTATTGTTAGAGAAAAGAAAAGAGAAAAAAAATAGAGTATATTTCTTCTCAATACTAATACGTCGCGGGTTGTTTCAGTTCGGTTCCCTGTTATTTTGGGGACGCGGGGCGCTGACAGGTTTTTGGTGGCCATGCATGTCACGGTCCCGAGTCATCACTAGTAAGAATATGTTTAGACAATTTTAGATACATATCATATTTCATCCGTAAGGCTAACAAAAATAAGTTCTTTATATTATTTATTTTAGACTTACAATTTACATTCTCTTATACTATATTTAATTAACTATTTTAGTTCCTATTTTCAAATATTATTATTTTGATTATTAACCTTCAATTTTCCTTTTGATTCCTCGTCCTTCAGAATCATGGTGGGGTACTCGTAGTAACGATAACCGTCTAGTAGCAGTGTTCGCAGCCTTGAAGGTGACCCGAGCCAACTTCTGGCGATTTGATTCAGGGATTGCGTTACCAATCGCAGACTTAGCGGACAGCTCACGGGAGCCGCAGCACCAGCCTCCCCCTTCGTCCAGGTCTAGCGTCAGGAGTTTCGATATATGCGGCCCCTTCCTTTCTGGTGCGAGGCGACCTTATCAGCAGCAGAGG